GCTCTCTCGTGCAAACAGCGATATCCCCAACGAACCTCGGGGCTTGCTGTAGCCGCCCATGACAAAATTCGTCGATTTCAGGGGCAGGAATTCTTTGAACTGAAGTCGGTCATTCTTTGCCAGATTTGTTTTGGTCGGTATCCTGATACGATTCTTTGCAAGCGGCGCTGTGAACTGCATCGCTGGTACCCACAAGCACTCACTTCATTGCCCACCTCGAAACACTTCCTTCTGCAAAAACGAGGCACAGCCCCGCTGAATATTCTTCAGCAACGAGCGAAGCAAGAAAGCCCTCCTCACGGCACGGACCTCTACCCCTCCGATCACACCCGCTAAAGTGCCACTCACACCTGAATCCCCAACACCCACACCATGTCATATCCTCAAGAGCTACTAAAACACGGCTCGACTCGGCCTGACTCGGATCGCTTCGTCTCGTACACGATCTGCGAAAAATTTTTTCCGGAATGCAGGTAGGGTCCCCAGGGCGGATGGCGGTAGTTTGAATGTGATGCCAGCGTAAGTTAAGGAAGTAGGAGGGGAGGGTTTTTATGGCTTTTCAGGTCACGCATATGTGATGTGTAATGTATCAGGGTAGGCGCATTTTACAGCCCCTTGAGGTCATCTATACCCCTACCCTGGCCACGCCCACACCCCTCGCGTATATAAGCCCAGTTTTTGGGCACAAAACTCAGTCTCTCCGGCCCACTCGGAGTGAATGACTGGGGCGAGTTCGGTCGCCCACTGCCCTCAGTCCTCACTACCAGGGAGGAGGGAGAATGGGAAAATTTGATGCTTAGGAAGAGAGAGAGGGAAGGAAAAGACATTTGTACATCCACTAGCCGCGCCCACCCCTCCACGCACCCCACAGCCACGGCTGCCCCTCTACTACCCCGCCTCCCTACTAGCCAGGCCATACAGCCGCCGAGGCCTAGCCAACGTTGCGCTGCTTCTCTAACACGCTGCCGAACGATCCCGATGAGCGACGCCACGAAACACCGTTGCTAGAGATGATAGAGGGTTTCCCAAGCACCAACGACCACCAGCCGAACCAAGCC